GAAGTGAGATAAAGAATCTCATAAAGGAAGTTGAAGGAAATGATCAATAAATGTTTCAACCCAAGAATATGTGATCTCAAGCGTTATAGTAATCGGTGTGTGATACATTTCATATGTCTTTTTGCTACATCATGACCGTCGTTCGAGAAGCAAATTTGCTAAACTGAAATCTAATTATCATCTATATATGCTGGCGAGTTGCTGTTGTCTTTAACTGAATTCCGGAATGAGTTGAACTCTTGTCCCGCGAAAGAGTTTTTAGCCGTTTTGCAAATCTCTGAAAAGAATGTTCAGAAACGTTTTCAAGGACAGTTTGAAACGAATTATAATTCTTGAGTAGAGTTCAGATTGCAAGGAAGAGCAGAGCCACAAAACCGTGTCAGGTTAAACACTGGACGGTCAATGGTTTTACAAAGTCTCAGACCAAAAACAATTGTGTTTATTCCCAAATACCATTTATGGCTTACCATAGCTAAGTGTGACACAAATGATACAAGGTTAATGATGAAAAATAGTTTGTTGTTTATCTGGGTTACTTATTTTATCAGTGGCTTCCTGTGAATCTCTAGCAGCTGCTTAACGTTTCTAGTTTTCTGTCGTCTTTTACTGGTCGAGCTCCTTCATCGTGGCGAGGTCTGGACGAGAGTTCCTCGCGGCTAAGGGAAGATCGGCTTCAAGCCGGGGCTTTGGTACTGCAAAGTCATCTTTTACTAAAAGACGAAAAGAGTACTCAGAACAGGATATTCGCAGCTGCTCACCAAACCAGTTTCTAACCGCGCCCGGTAGGGCTAAACTTAAGTACAACACCGAGTTGCGCGAGGGTTTGCGAGATGCGTTTCCCCGGTTCCATGGTTCAAAGAAAACGTACACCAATGTGTATATTAAAAAAAGTAATAAAAAATGAAAATAAAAATGCCAGTGCTTCAGTTTGAAACACATCTCTATAACTCCTTGTCATGATTTCAAGCACTTGAATTGATCGTTATACACTACATCCCAGTTGACAAAGGGGAAGAAAAATTCAGTCCTCATGTGTTCTGTTCGGCATTACGCATCTTAATTGAACAGAAGACGACAAAGAAAGATACCATGCCAATAACGGTAAGGCAGGTACAGCGTTGTTCATTTGTTTTTATTTGTTGTTTTTGTCATATTGCTTTAAAAACATGTTAATTAAACACTTTTTAATATATCCATTGCGTCCAAAATAGTTTTAACCAACCTGTCGTTTGCGGCCACAACTAGGATCAGTGTATATATATCCACGGACATTTAAAAGGATTCTGAGTTGTTTTCTGAGACAGAACGGTCAATGACCAAGAAAGAATGAGGATGCACATACACATGAGCCAAAACCACTTTTGCAGTCATGTTGATCTTCCGTTTATACTTGCTCAATGTAGACTTCACCTTCGCCTCCCACGCAAACGTTCTTAGGGGTTCGTCACGCGTTCCTACCCCACGAAAGAAAGGAAAGATTGCTTGGCGAGCCCGTAAGAACGTCTGCGTGGGAGGCTAGACTTCACCTTGGATATGGTCAATCAACAGACTGGATTTAGCGGCAACGCAGTTGATTTTTATGGTGTTCGTATTCATACTTCCTGTCTCCGATCTCAACGTGTGGTTTTCCTTAATCTGAACAAATTTACTTAACATTATCTATAACATGTCAGCCATGTATGCTTTTTTAGAGGACTAGTTTAATGACAACTTATCGTTTCATTCCCCCACAAAACAAACTTCTGTTTCAAAACACACGACGGACAATTGTCCTGCAGAAAAATAAATACAGTTATTACTAACCTCATTGCTAAATAGTGCCACGTAATTGTCGCAATTTTAGCACCATGATGAAGACACCAACAAAGGAAGTAGGAAGAAATAGTCGGGAACACATTCATGACAGTAAAAACCATTGCGCCGGCTTTCACAATTAGGGTGGTAAGGTCAAATTTTCCCATTGCTTGTTCAGTTAGTAACAGAACTAGTTTTGCTGTTCTTAGTAGCTCAAATGGCCTAAATCGTTTGACCAAACATACTTCCATGAGAAATGTATGTATTTCAAGGGGAATATAGACTTGAAAGGCAAGTTTCAGACGTCGGCGTCAGTTAGGAGTTGAACCTTATCATGACATTGAATTAAGTACATGAAAATTTTGGCGCTGAAATCAATACCTATATTTTAATGTGGAGCTGCTCAGCCATTACAGCTGGCTCGGCCGGGAATTTCGACTGGTGACTAGTTTGGAACTGCTTTCATTCGGACGCCAAACTTTTCATGTGCTGAATCTAACACTTGAATTTTTATAACGCATTTTCGCGATTGTGTTTTGCTTTTTTTTTACGCGTGAGCAGATGGTGGCGGATAGCATTCTCGCTTTAGATTTTTTATTGAAACTGCGCCGAATCGATGGAATGAAACCCCGTGGTTTATATAACTTGAGTTTAAGCGCTTATTCACAAGTAAACTAGCCTCTATTTTCGTATTTCAATGCTGGTCGGGTAGTTATTTCGGCAAAACACTTTTAATTCTTCAATTTGCGTCCTGTGAAGGCCATAACCCATGGCCAGTATTTTATCGTCTGAAGACGTGTCAAAGACGTGACTACTTGTGGTTTTTTGTCTTGTTATTCTTCATTAGGGAGCTTAAGACTACGAGTAGGATATTGAATATGACTAGGGGTTACAAACTATGTCCATGTGCCTTACACAATAATTTGCCACATGAAACTTATCTTAGACGTTATGTGCTAACCAGCAAAAGGAAAAGAGTTACAAAATATTTAGGAGGGATAAAATTATCTCGAAGTAAACTCCGTTTTTTTTTCTTTGCAAAACTAAGGGTCGCCATTAATATGCCGGTTCAAACTTATGGGAAGAACTGAGAGAGGTATTGAAAAATAAAAAAAAAATAAATGGGAAAATTTTAAAAAAATAGTATTATCCTTTTTTGAACCTGTTTCTTTTGTTCGAAGACTTGTTTAAGATTGTGGAAGGTTTTGGAATACGGGTAATGACATCTAACCACAACAATTTAGGATTAAAATATTTAATTGTAGACATGCAAACCCGACTTTAGTTATAGTATCTTACCACAAGCACTGAGCCTGCCCCCTATTGACGCCAAATAGAACGAGAGCTTATTCTCAATGTGTGTTATCAGCTTTAATTGAACACAACTTCAAAATGACCTTTATTTTTGACTTAATCACAGTCCATATAATGATGTACTTTACTATTTATATAATATCTTAAACAACAAAGACCAGTAGTTTAGTCAACAAGTTTTAAAACTTTACGTCTTCTTCAACTAGGCTTCCAATTCTTGTCTGGTTCTAAGTCTTCGCGCGGTTGCTAGTCGTCCTTCAAAAGGCTTGGAGAGAGACTCCCTAAGTGGGCGCGGTTGATCTTTAAGCTGGCGGGTTTCTGGAAGTTTGAACTGGTCTAGAACCTGGAAGGAAAAGTCATGCACCGATATTCATTTTCCTTTAGTCTTGGCCTCACTAGTGCGAAATTTAACCATATGGCAAAGATTGATCGTGGCATTTAGTTTAATAGGCTCCCGGTTTAAAGGGCTTTCAATGAGAAACAAAAGCCACTGAACTGAGTATTAAAAACTGTGGGTGGCCTATTTAAATGGAAGAACAAACAACCAACCTGCCTCTTGCGTCCACAATTATAGTTATAGGCGCATCCCCATGGGGATGAAGAATGTGATAAAACATGCAGCGGTGAAGTAAGAAGGAAGACGCAAATGAAAGAGAACACCACCCTTGTATTTGCAGTCATTTTGATCTCCACTTTCGCAATAGTTGCTCACTGTGGTCCACTGTAGCCGACCTCACTGGCCTTAGACGCGAAATATGAGAGTTTGAGTTAAGGCAACACGTATGCCTTTTTCCGACACTGAAAATTCCACAATCGCTAAGCGTTTATATAGCCTTTTCCTCGGAAAAGGAAGGGTTTCAAATTGTCGCAATTAATCATTTTTCCTTTAAAACTATCAAGTTGAAGGTTTTCTTTTCAAAATTTAACCGCGACTTTAATGTTAAACGCCATAACAGGATAACTGAGCAAAACGCGCCGGAGAGGCTCAACAATCAGCTTAAACAGGAGGTGATTAAAGAGTAAATGTTCTGTTAAAGTAGCCTAAACTAATACTGAAACGCGGAAAAATCAAAGTAAAAATGCGCATTAAAGTGTTTTACTTTTGCAAAAAGGCTATTTGCTTTTTATGAACACACCCTCGGGTTCCTCAAACGGCCTACTTGTTTGTTCTTCAGAATTTCGCTTTAAAGACTCGGCGATGACCAATTTACTTATTGAACAGGAGTTATTCACTTAAACGGAGAAGAGTGGCCACTTTGTGATAGTAATAAACCGAGAATTAACAGTTTTACTACCCATTTGCTCATAATGGACTCGTTTTTCGCTCAAAATCGGCCACACAAAAGCTGCCTGGGGCTATATATTTTTACTTAACAACATTAACCTGGAGACTTACTGTCGAAATTTTACGGCCATTTTAAGCTGTTGAATATCTTAAGTGGTCTGTTTGTGGTAACAACCAACACAAGATCGTTTAAGATGTGATTTTATTGAGAATTTTAGGTACGGTATTTCACATGTTTAAAACGTTCATTAAATGTAAGCTCCTTTTACAAACACTCAAATAAAGACATTTAGCACAATCGTTGCAAAGTAACCAATGCATTGTCTGAAAATCCCTTGTTTAAATACTCATCAAGTAATAATCGTAAGCTCGGCCTAAATTAAATGTATTTTTATCTAAAACTCTTTAACTACATAGAAGATTGTCTTGGTCAGCAAGGTTACTCAGGTTTACAGTTGTATTTTTTGATTAATCGCTTTTTAGTGTACTACCTGTACTAATGGGCTTGTATAACATCAGTACTATCACTGGCGAAAAAATACACTTTCCAGCAAAAAAGATACTCACGACAAAGATGGTTGAATCTGTGCATCAACTGTACTAGGACAGGAAATATTAAGTATATGATCAAAGATACAAGTATTCGATTGTCTCAGCAAGTGAAATATAAACAGCTGCCATTTGTTCATACTTCAGTAGCATGGTTCGATTTAGGGGTATGGTCCGAGGGGAACGCGCTTCCCCCTCTCTGTAAAATTTTGTACATGTGAAATTTTTGTACATTATTTTTATGAATTCTCTGTAAATCAATTGTCTTATAGTTGAACTGTCATTAAGCGACCATCCTCGTGGCAAGTGGCAGCTTAATGCAAGCTGGCCATCAACAGAGGTTTGTCATAAATTAGCATAATCTTTAGCAGAAACATCAATTCATCATACAACAAACACGAGACAGGAGTCCACGATCAGTCGTTTCCTTCTATCTCGGACTGTATTTATTTTTCCTTCATCATACTTTTAAAATAGAGCCAAACAAACTGTATCAAACGCTTGATGGCCGCCTAACACAGAGGCTACAACAATAAATTAAAAGCTAGAGAACTCTCGCCAGGGTAGAAGCTGGCCGCTTGATGGACGTTCAACTCTGTATATCAGCTTTGCAAGTGTTCCGCCCCACCCCTGCCCTTCTAAATTTTCTGCATCCGCCCGTTTGAGTGGTGCATCGCAACTTCCTTAATCCACCGCCCAATGGCCGCCTGGGTGGTCTTAACTTTATACTTAGTCAAATCTAAGGCGACTCATGGATAGACCCCTGCTGGTTTTTATTTGACATGCAGGTTATATTGTACATCTGCTTTTTTTTCTCGATCATGAACCTCACATAGTGTTTATGTTGCCTGGTTATGATTAAATAGTTCAGAATAATATAACCCTCAGCCTTCTCCTTTGTTAAAATTTTAGTCAATAAGTAAATCATGTTTTTGAAATTCTGCCTTAAATTGGATTCAGTTATCAGTTCATGATTCATTTAAAAGGATAATGATATATTCCATACAACTACAGGTGAAAAACAAATTGAAACTTAAAAACATACCTCTTTTCCAAACGCGAAACAGTTCAATAAAGTTCAATAAAGCCTCGAATATATAAATCCTAGTTTTGTTTATTTATTTATTGTTAAGGTGAGACCTAATGTCATTGTATGTGTATCCTTTTGTGTCCATCTTTGTCTTTGAGTCTAGTTTCTCCGGCTTTTCTCTCATTGCACTTTGTAAAAGTGGAACAAGGTAATTTGGTCTTGGTCTTATAGCATCATTTTCCCACTCTGTGTCAGTGCTCGGCCAGGTACGCCAGGGATTCAGAATATTCTTGTTCAGCTGAAATATATGTGCAACAAAAGAGCCACAAGGATGATATATTACATCAATTAATTTTAAAAATATTGGTGTTTTTGACTGTAATTCTCATCAAAAGACAAATGTTCGTGAAGTTCTTTCTTGTAAATTGCACCAGACCATCAAATTAAGGGATAGTTTTAACAATACTGTAAAAGAAAAACTCTTAGTGGTTCAGTTTCGTTAACTGGTGAACAAAATAAAATCAAAATTACAGTTATGTGGACCGGCGTCAAATCAAAACTTATGGCTTTGGAAACGACACCTATCATATAACTAAAGCTACTCCTTTAAAGGGATTTAAGGGGGGACTTGAGAAAAGTCATCACTGACTGAAGATGATATAGTGAAATCAATAAACTCCTTCTAAGTACCACAAGAGATGTAATAGAGAGTAATATGGAGAATGTGCAAGCTAATATTAGGGACGTTGAAGGTTTAAATTTTGTGTGTATCGAGCCTGTTGACAGACTTTCTATTTTCTGTTCAGAGACCGTCAAGCGCGCGCGAAATATATAAATGAGACAAGGCCAAAAGCGGAGCTCTCGAGAGCCGATTATTTGAAATATTTCTTTTCATATGTTAGAATCAGATAGTCAATAAGCAGATGCAGTGCGTGCGAGCATGGCTTTTGAGTATGTATTTGGGTACGCGAAAAAAGAAAAAAAAATTCTTATACAAACCTTCGGATTACAGCCAAATCTCCCATTTTGTACACTTACGATCGTACCCGCTGATTTGAACAACCACAGCGAAAAGACATAAAAAAATTGCTGAAAACTCGGTTGAATTCATCTTTGAAAATTTCAAAGCGTAAATGTCGGAATAACACTGCTTAATGATATCGATCACATATATGTGCATGATTAGTAAGCCACAGACAGCTTCTTTTGTTACTTAAAGTTGTTGAAAGTTGTATGTGCGCTTTCGTGCACATGTTGTTATTGGAACACCTTCAAACAACATTTTGACCACAATGGTCACAAAAAACGCTCACGCACAAACCGATTTAGCTCGTTTAACTGTTAAAGCAATTTATACGCAATAATTTATGAGATATTTGCGGAGAAACAAAGAACAATGACTCGACATTCAACACTTGATTCATGCAAAGAAAGAAAATGATTCTCTCTGTTTACTTGGGATAATAACTGAAAAAGCTAAATAGAAAAGTAAGAACCCCAATCACATCATTATGATACTTGTTTGTGATGAATGGAAATAGTTTCAAGTTGTTCAGCGGCACTTTTATATAGCTGTCCACCTACTCTATATAATTTGTCATGACCAGTCCTCCGTTGACTCTGGCTATTGGTTTCTAGGAGAGTGATATACCTACCGTAACTTTCCGCCTAAAAGCCCTGGGATTACACAACCTCGTCCTAGGAGGATTTAGGAGGGCTTATTAACGAGGGGACGGAGGGGGGGGGGGGGGGGGGGGTGCCTAAAAAAAGCGGAAGAAAATGGGAGTGTTGTGTGGAATTTTTTGTGGGGGGCGGGAGGAAAATTTTGTTTTTTTTTTTTAAGGAAAAAAAATAGAGATGGGAAGAACAAACGTCTAAACCCCAGCAAAATCACGAACCCTTTCGCGGTCTTCTGCTTGAAAAAAAAAATATATA